AAAAAAAAAAAAAAAAAAAATTGTTTTTGGGGTTCCCTGGGAACTATAATAATACAAATCAGTTATCTTGTTCAGAGCTCAGCAAGTGATTTACAGCCCATAAGTCAAATCCAGCCTGCTACCTGTTTGTGTAAATAAAGTTTTATTAGAACACAGCCCCACTCATTTATTTATGTATCATCTATGGCTGCTTTTGCACTACCCCTGGAGTACTAAGTAGTCAAGAGAGATCATTCAGCCAGCAACCTCCAAAATATTTACTAACTGGCCCCTTACGGGAAAAGTTTGCAGACCCCTGCAAACTCTGTCAGAGGCATAGTCGGACCTTTACAGTCAAAAGGAGAGTTTGGGTCTAAATATAAGGAATACAAACCAAAAACTTAGCTTATTCTGGGAATTATTTTAGTTTCTATTATTTATGTTGATAGTAGCTCTTGGGACTGTACATGTGCCTAGCACACTGCATACACTACTGCATATAATCACAAATATCCTTTAATGTAGGTACTCTTATACCCCCATTTTACAGATGGAAATAGTGAGGCTTAGAGAGATTAAATACAATTTCCCAATGCTTCACAACTGGACTGTGGCAAAGAGGTGAGTGGTTGAGAGATCGCTGTTACACTCAAAAAGACCTGGGTTTGAATTCCAGTTTGACTGATCCTAAAGAGGTCATTTCAGTTCTCCAAGCCTCGGTCTTCTCATCTGTACGGTGGAGATCATCACAACGACTACACTTGACGTAATGTGAAAATGCACATAAAGCCCCTCACACAGGGCCTGGTACTCAATACATGCAGAAATTCTTGTGATTTGCATGGAGAGGCGACCAGAAGGAAATCAGTGGTTATTTCCGGATATTGACAAACAGCATAATTTTGTTTCTTTTTATTCTAACACTTGTCTCTAATCATTGGAGGTTTTTGTGACCAGGAACAGAAAGAAAGAAAGGGGGGAGGGGGAGGGAGGGAGGGAGGAAGGAAAGAAGGAAGGAAAGAGAGAAAGAGAGCGGGGAGAGAGAGAGGGAGAGGGAGGGAGGAAGGAAGGAAGGGATTAAGAAAAAGAGAAAGAAAAAGAAAGAGAGAGAGAGAGAGAAAGAAAGGAAGGAAGGAAGGAAGAAAGAAAGAAAGAAAGGGAGAGACAGGGAGGGAAGGAGGGAGGAAATAACGCTTGGGAAAAAAGAAAAAGTACCTACATCTGCTGCCCAACCAGCTTCCACCTGACTTTCCAACTAAATGCTAGGGGATTTTGAGGGGGCATGAACTCACCTTTGCATTCCACTTGTGGGTCCCTGAATTTCTTCTGTCCATTGCTGGACAGGAAGCCTTTTTTGCAAGTACAGTAGTAACTTGTTGAAGTGTTGGTGCAGGTTGCGTACGTCGGACACATGGTGGTATCTGCACACCCATTCATATCTAGGCAATGGAGAAGAAAGGATTTGGGTTAGAGCACCGAGTGGGGCTGCAAGGGAAGCCAGCGCAAGAGAAGCAAGGTGACTGTTATGGGTTGAATTGGGTCCCCCCTCCCCAAAGTGTTGAAGTTATTGAAGTCCTAAACGCTGGTCCCTGAGAATGTGACCTTATTTGGAAATAGAGTCTTTGTAAATGTAATTAAGGCCTAAATTAAGATGAGATTATACTGGAGCAGGGTGGTCCTTTAACCTGATATCATTGGCGTCCTTCTAAGAACAAGAGGCGAGGCACAGAGACAGGGAGAACAGCACGTGATGATGGAGGCAGAGATCAGAAGGGTACATCTACAAGCCAAGGACCACCAAGCATGACCAGCAACACCAGAAGCTAGGAGAGCTTGGAATAGATTCTCCCCTACAGCCTTGAGAGAAAGCACCTTGATTTCAGACCGTTTGTGGTAATTTCAGCAGGCCTGGGAAACTGATACAGCCACCAAGGGAGCTCAGTGAAGGAGCTTACAGACCCCAGACCCTTGCTGCTCCAAGTGTGGTCCACAGACCAGTAGCATCTGCCTCATCTGGGATCCCCAAGAGATCTTGGGAAATCAGATGCTAATTCAGGTCTCGGGATGGACGTAAGGTTCTGCATTGTTAACAAGTCCCTGAATGAGCATCAGAGCTCTAGACAGAAGAGTTATGAGTGAACATTACAGCCCTGCAACTGATTTTATTGCAGCCCCTGCTGACATCCTTTTTTTTTTTTTTGCAGTACGCGGGCCTCTCACTGCTGTGGTCTCTCCCGTTGCGGAGCACAGGCTCTGGATGCGCAGGCTCAGAGGCCATGGCTCGCGGGCCCAGCCGCTCCGCGGCACGTGGGATCTTCCTGGACCGGGGCACGAACCCGTGTCCCCTGCATCGGCAGGCGGACTCTCAACCCCTGCGCCACCAGGGAAGCCCACCTGCTGACATCTTGATTTTAGCCCAGTAGGACCCATTTCGGACTTCTGACCTCCAGAGCCGTAAGATAATGTTTTTGTTATTTTAATCCACCAAGTCTATGGGAATTTGTTACAGCAACCACAGAAAACGAATCCAGTTCCCATTATACAGCTGTGGAAAACTGAGGGTCAGAGATGTTCAGTGACTTGCCCAAGGACACACAGCTGGTGAGAGGCGGCAGCAGGTCTGTCAAAATCCAAAGTGCATGGTTTTCACTACTGCTAGGCAAGAAGAGGTGGGTCTGGCTGGAAACGGAATAAATCTTCAGGCAATTTCTAAGACAATTCTATGCAAAAACTTTTTCAATTGGTTGTTTCAAGTCTTTTGTCCTGATAGACTGTAAGCTCCAAGAAGGTAGGGGTTTGTGTCTGTCTCATTTACTGCTGTGTCCCGAGTGCATAATGGGTGCTCGGTAATGAAGACCTCACTGAGAAGGTAACATTTGAGCAAAGACCTAAGGGAGCTGACTGAGTGAGCTATGAAACTATTTAAGGCAGAGGAAACAGCAAGTGCAAAGGTCCTGTGGCAGGACCATGCTTAGTGATGTCATGGAATTACAAGATGGGTGTGGTTGGAGCAGAGTGGATGACAGGTGCATGGGAGGAGGTGATATGACAAAATCACATAGGATCTGCTGGACCATTGTAAGATTTCAGCTTTTTATCAGAGACAGATGGGAGCCATGGGAGAGTTTGAGCAGAGGAGGTATACAGCATCACTTAGGTTTTAACATGATCCTTCTGGCCACTGGTTGGAGGATGAACTGTATCGGAGCAGAGGTAGGATGACCAGGTAGGAGGCAACTGCACTTGTGCAGGTGAGCAATGATGGTGGATACAGCCCAGGTGAGAACAGTGGTGCACATAAGATTCTGAATTTATTCAGAAGGTAATGCTAATGGGATTTGCCGATGGATTGTATGTGGGATGTAATAGAAAGAGAGAAGTCAACAAAAGTACCCCCATCAATTAGTCAGATTTATAAAGTGCTGCAAAAACAAAAGGGACAGATTTTCATTACTAAGGTCTTGAGAGCCAGACTCTTTGCTGCCTGCACACTGCCTTGTTTATTCCTTCCCTGCACTATGCCTCAGGCTGTATCTCTCTTCTCGTTTCCAGCTTCCTGTTTCATCTGCAAAGGCAACATTTCTTTTTGCAGATTTACTGTGTATTACCACTTGTGATCTCTCAACTCTGAGTTTCCCATTACTTTCTTTCTTCCTCTAGCTCAATCTCTCAGGACTCAAATCCACCCCAAACCAGAATAGCAACACAGTCCTGTGTGACCGGCCACCTGCTAGCTTCTCTGGCTCATGTTCTACCTGGTCCCACCACCCACACTCACCTCTGCTCAGTTCTCCAAATTCTTTCTGGCCTGCAGATCTTGAGACGTGCCAGAATCATGTGAGCCAATTCCTGACAATAAATATTTATGTATACTTATATGTAGCTATCCATTCTATTGATTCTGTTTTGCTGGATAACCCTGACAAATACAAACACCTACTATATGCCAGGCAATATTCTAAGCCCTGTGGATTCAGCAGAGGAACAAGACATACAAAATTCCCCACCTTCACGGAGATGATAATCTGATGAGACATACAATGTCAAAACTAGGGTAGTCACTGAGAAGATAACTCATGAGCTGAAGCATACAGAAGGTGAGGGAGGGAGCCATGTATATATAGGGAGCAAAAGATTCCAGGCAGAAGGAACAGCACATGCAAAGGCCCTGGGGCAGGACAGTGCCTGGTGTGTTGCAGGAACAGCAAAGAAACCCAGGTGGCTGGAGCAGAGTGAGCGAGGGGGAGAGAGAGGGAGGAGGGGAGGGCAGGGAGGAGACAGGGCAGGTCGTGCAGGACTTTGTGGGCAGCAGGGAGGACTCAGACTTTTGCCCTGAGGGAGGAGGGAGCCCTGGAGGGCTGTGGGGCAGAGGTGGGGCAGGACCTGACTCAGGGGCTCACAGGCGCCCTCTGGACATTCTTAGAAGGGCAAGGAAACAGGAGACCGGGGCAGAAGCGACTTCAACCGAGACATGCACATGATCCTCAACCGTGAGCACAACAATTTAATAGATGGTCACTTAATTGAAGGAGGCAAAGAGACTTTTAAAAATATAACTAGAACTACCATTTCCTAGGTGTCTTCCACGTGCCCAGCCCCTTCCTTAGATGTTCTGCAGTCCTCACGATAATGCTTTGAGGAGAGATGACCAAGCCATCCTGGTTTTCCCAGGACTTTGCGGGTGTTAGCACTCAGAGTCCAGCATCTTGGGAAACACCCCTTCCCTCCAGTCTGGGTCAAGCCAGGACAGTGGGTCGCCCTACTTGAAGGTAAACGTTAGGACTCCTTTCTGCAGATGTGGAAAGGGAGGCCCAAGAGAGTTTGTAAAACCGTTCCCAGGTCACACCACGAGTCAGGATGCAAGAGAAGAGCCAAGTAGAGTGGACGGGTGTTAGGAGGGAGACCTGCCCATCATCCTGGCTGTGCTCCACCACTGGCTACCAGCTTTGGCGCAGCTGCAGCCGAGCCAAGTAAGAACCAGTTAATTTGTGATGCTCAGAGGAGGAGAGAGAGGAGGAAGGGGGGAAGGGAGAGGGAGGGGAGGAGGAAGATGAGGGAGAGGGAGTGGAAAGGGGGAGGGGTTGTCATTAATCAGGTGACAAAACCGAGTGACAGAGGCATTTGCCCAAGGTGGGGGAGTCTCTTACCAAAATGTGTCGACAACCGCCCCGCCTGCTCACCTTCAAGGAAAGAGAAGTCGATGGATCCCTTGGAGATCTGGCCATGACCCATCCTTTCAAACCAGGCTACCTTTTCCCCTGGGTACCAGTGATCACAGTGGTGAGTTATGAAAGAGGGAGTGAGGATGTGAAGAGGAAAACCCAGCCCCTTCCTGGAGATTTACCACCATCAGGTCACGAGTTCTTCACACCTTGCCAAGTAAGAAAGGATGGGATTCCAATGTTCATGGAAGCACTTTTTATAAGAGCCAGGACATGGAAGCAACCTAATGTCCATGGACAGATGAATGGATAAAGAAGATGTGATATATATATATATATATATACACACACACACACACACACACATACACATACAATGGAATATTTCTCAGTTATAAAAAAGAATGAAATAATGTCATTTGCAGCAACATGGATGGACCTAGAGATTATCATATTAAGTGAAGTAAGTCAAAGAGAAATATCATATGATATCACTTATATGTGGAATCTTAAAAAAAATGATACAAATGTACTTACTTACAAAACAGAAATAGACTCACAGACATAGAAAACAGACTTATGGTTACCAAACGGGATAGCGGGCGGTGGGGAGAGATACATTAGGAGTTTGGGATTAACAGATACACACTACTGTATATAAAACAGGTAAACAAGGACCTACTGTACAGCACAGGGAACTCTATTCAATTTCTTGAAATAACCTATAATGGAAAAGAATCTGAAAAAGAACATATATACACGTGTGTGTGTGTGTGTGTGTGTGTGTGTGTGTGTGTGTGTGTAAAACTGAATCACTTTGCTGGACACCTGAAACTAACACAACATTGAATATTAACTATACCTCAATTTTTAAAAACAGTTAAAAAAAGGGGGTGGGGGGAATTCTCTGGCAGTCCAGTGGTTAGGACTCTGTGCTTCCACTGCAGGGGGCATGGGTTTAATCCCTAGTGGGGGAATTAAGATCCCGCATGCTGCGCGGTGAGGCCAAAAAGAGTTTTAAAAGTATGGGTGGGGGGATAGCAGCGGCTCTCGGCCCTACCCCCATCCAATTTACCTGATTGGCGTCGCATCCCCGCCACTGTCTCGCTGGCCTAGAAGTATTGCCTGACAGATGCAGGAGTGGAACGGTCTCTGAGCAGGTGAACCTCTGTGATGTAATTCACACTCCAGAGCTCCTCCTGGGATCAGGCTGTGGCTGAAACTCTCCTGAAACACCTTCTGAGTGGCTAGTTTTTCCCCTATCCAATCCTGCTTCCCTCCCTCCCCTACAAGTGTCTCCTGAGAGCCCTTCCTTAATAAATTACTCACACAAGAATCCTCACCTCAGACTCTGCTTCTATAGAAATTAACCAAAAACGGGTGGCGATCCTTATTTTTGTTTCTTTGGGTTTTTTAAAAAAATTTTTTATTGAGGTATAGTTGATTTACAACGTTGTATTAGTTTCGGGTGTACAGCAAAGTGATTCAGTTCATATACATATATATATATATATATTCTTTTTCAGATTCTTTTCCATTGTAGGTTATTCCAAGATATTGAATACAGTTCCCCGTGCTATACAGTAGGACCTTGTTGCTTATCTATTTTATATATAGTGCTGTGTATCTGTTGTTTCATTTGTCTTTATCTTTTTTAAAGAAGGTAATAATTACTTATAGTCAAAAAATTCAAACAGTGCAGAAGTATATAAAATTAAGAGTGAAGATTTCCCTGTGCCCCATCGTTATACTCAGGGGTCACCACTGTCAAAATCTTAGAGTGCATCCTTTAAGGCTAGGTCCTATTCACAAGCTCAGTCACGTAAATATAACATTAAATATAACTGAATTTATAAATTCACACAATTTTCTGAACACAAATGGTATCACTCAACATACAGTCCACTGGGCTGCCCAACACAGTAGCTACTAATCATATATGGCTGTTTACACTGAAATCTATTAAAATTAAATAAACTGAAGCATTGATTCTTCAGTTGCACTCGCCTCATTTAAGTTCTCAGTAGCTCCATTGACTGGTGGCTACCATAGATCTAGAACATGTTCATTGTCATAGAAAGTTCTTTTGGACAGCTCTATTCTACTGTTACTTTCTTTTTCATGTAACCAAGAGCAGCAAAATTTTCCAAGTGTTGAAGTTGAGCAATGGGTACATGGGAGTTTGTTATACTATTTTTCCTACCTTTGAATGTTTAAATATTTCTATAGTTAAAAAAAAATTAAGAAAATAATGTTGGGGGCAATTTTCCAAGTCAGTTCACATGACCAAACTTAAGCTTTTTATCAGCTGTACAGCATTCCATTATACCCATGGGCTCTAACTGTGCCAGAGATAGCTAGGTAGCCCAAGATCGAACAAAAACTTCACAATCTCCTTTCCGTGGTGTAGAATTGACAGTAGGAGGCAACTACCCTGCCATGGACTACATTTCCCAGCTCACCTTGCATCCAGGTATGGCCATGTGACCATGAACGGCCGTTGACGTGTGTCACTGCAGAGCCTGAGTTTTAATAAGGTGGCTTCGCCACTGTCTGCAGAGTCTCTGAGATACTAGTATGGCTGAGCCACAAAACAGAAAGCATCTGGGTCCCCGAATCACTACATGTAGGAAAACCACCCACCAGCCAGAAATATCCTCATTAGACTCTTAAACAAACAAGAATGAAATTTCTTTCTCTTCAGCCACTGACAGTTTGGGGTTTATTTGTTACAGTAGCTTGAGCTGGTCTCACAAATGCAACAATTTATCCAGCCAGTCCCCTGGTGTAAGCATACATTTAGTTTATTCCAAGTTGTTACCATGTTTTTTTCCCCAGCGGACAAAACACCCCATTCAGAGTCCACACTTCACCGCTGCAAGATGCCATAAGCTGTCCCTACGCCAACACCCACACACCATCTCGGGAGGAACGAGAGTAGGGTGAGGAGATTTGAAAGATTAACTCTTCGTACCATAAAGGCTGAGTTCCCCAAATAACGCTGAGCCAGGAAACTGAGACACTGACAACACAGAACTGGCCATGTTTCTCCTCCTGGATCCAGCAGGAGCTTGTGTGGAAGATCAGAATACTGAACAAAACATCTAAAAATGCACTTTTTTTTCCCCACGTTGAGTTGTCGTTTAAATAAATCCCATCCCCATCCCCACCGCCCCATCATTCATGAAGCTCTTCTCACACACGCCAGGTCGTATACAACGCTACCTCTTTGGTTTTAAGCTTCACAACACCCCTGTGACGTAGGAACCCTCGTTACCTGTATCTCGCAGCTGAGGAAACTGAAGATCAAAGAGGTCGTGTGACCTGCCTGAGGTCACACCGCAAGTTTAAGGCACAAGAGAAAAAGCTTGGGTGGGAACTGGGAGACCTGGATGTTATCCCTTGCTCAGCCACGGACTAGTTTGTGGCAAGTGTCCGGCTGTGTCTCAGCCTCCTGTCTCCTCCCTGCCACACTGGGCATATAATTCCCCAACTTACGTCTTGTCATTGATTCCAGTGAGGGTAATGTGAACATTCCCCAGGTGTATATACCACAACACCCTGTGAAGAAAGAAAAGAAAAACACCATGACCCATCAAGAAGCTCTTTGGACCCAACCTGAAAACCTACTCTTGGTGTAGCCTCATAGAAACGGGTTTGATGAGCTTAGATGAAAGCCCCAAGTGAATGACAAGCATACATTATTTT